TTTATTAGGTGGTACTTTGTCTAATCTCGCTATTTTTCCTTTCTTGGCTGGTGTTACGCTTTGTACGTTAGAATATAATATGTTTCCTTTATTTTTTTTATTACAACCTGTTATATCACAGGCACAGAAGTAACAGTCTTCATTGTGATCCTTAGGCTCGTACCACATGGTTGGTGTAATGACAACTTCCTTTTTCATATCGTTCCAATTAATCAGAGTTAATCTACAAGTATTACAAATAGATGTAGGTACCCACGGTTTACCTACATTTTTCATAAGTATGTTATAACATTCTAAACATTTTTTTTAATCCATTCATTAACCCTTTCTTTACCATGCACAAATGCAATTGCAATGTCTCTATTCCCGGACTTTTTGAAGTGGCCCCAATCCCAGTGACGTATATATACGGCATATCAAAATTTGGGCAAAAGCAATGAGAAATAACTTAGTAGAAATTTTATTAACAGCAAATAATTTATATTAGTATGGCTTACATAATATATGAACATATTTTCTAAAAATATAACTTTTTAGTAAACTTCTTTTGTGTGATATTCACCAAAACAGGGAGAAACACACAATCCCACGTTGCATTCTCCGCACATATATCTGGAATCTCGTCTCTTCTTTTTATCGCGAATTTTAGATTGTGAACAAACAATACATCTTCGAACTTTATTATTTGGTACGGTAGTCGGAAAATGCCGTGCAGTAAGGCGCTGAAGATTTGTTGGAGTGAACTTGGTTTGTATGGTTTTTGATATATTGTATCTGTAACAAAAAAATGTTTGTACTTATGACAAATTTAAAACCAGAATTACCTACCTCTCAAGCAACTGTCGAGTAAGGCTCAATTGAAAATCTGCTAGTGCCAACTTCTCTGGATGTTGGGTTAGGAATAGTGCATGACTATTCAAAACACATAAATCGAGAATGTGGAAGAACAACTTCTTGTACCACTTCAAGGTTTTTCTAACGCATTCTGTAGAACTGAGCATCATATCAGTCCTGTCAACTGCTCCCATATTTTGGTTGTAGTGGACTACACATTCGGGTTTTTTCATAAATTCTCCTGTGTTCCGGTCTTTCTTATTCAACTGTATCATTTGGTCTTTGTGAAATGTTGTCAGAATGTTAACTTCCCGGCGATCTTTCCATCTGACTGCTAGAATATTGTCACTGGCCATCGATGTTGTCTCACCCTTCTTCAAATTACCTGATAAATTTGGCATTTGCTTTCTATTTGTCCTAACTGTACCGCATGTGTTCGTTTTGTGCTGAAATAAGTAGGTAGAAAGTGTTGGCGAGGTATACCAATTATCTGTAAAAAGAGAGTGCCCTTTATCCAAATAAGGTTGTATTAGTGTTGTTACAACTGATCCTGACACTCCCAGATCTTGATATAGCTCTATTTCTGTTTGCTTGCCTGTATATACGATAAAATTTAGAACATATCCTGTCTCACAATCGCACAACAGAAATAGTTTTATGCCAAAACGATGGCGTTTTGTTTTTATAAATTGTTTGAAGAGCAGCCTCCCTTTGAAAAGTACTAAGCTCTCGTCAATTACTAAGTTCTGGAACGGCGAAAAGTTATGGGCAAATGAAGTTTTAATTTTTTCGAAAACTCGTCGTAACTTATGGAAAGAGTCACCTTGAATTTGTTCAGCATTATCTGCGAAATGTAACATACGCAATATCATTTGAAAGCGGTTTCTTGACATCACTTTCCCAAATATCGGAGTGTGAAGTAATTCATCGGTCGACCAATTTTCCACAAGTTTATTTTTTCTATGGCGAGCAGCAAGTAGGAGTACGGCAATAAAATTGAAAAAATCTTCTTTAGTAATTGGGATCCAAATGATTTTTTTATTACGTGTCTGTTCTGAAGCATATTTATTGGTTTCGCTTATAATAATTTCCACTACCTCGTCATTCATAAATAAAAGAAAATAATCCATTTCTTTTGAAGGATTTTCCATGTTTTCTAATCGTGCACCAGAGTCTGCGCCACCAAAGTTATGTATTACAGGCATAAATTGGCGCTTTCTCCACTCTATAGAAAAATTCTCATCCAAAGCATTTCTTACCTTTTTCATCAATGCTCTTTACAAACCATTCTACTGCATGTATCACACGAAATCGTTGTCACTCTATTTTTGCGTCTTCCATAACAATAGCACCTTCCTCGCATTTTTACTGGTGGTTCTTCTCCTTCATGTTCCTCTACAACAGCTTTGTATCTCTTCAGGAACAGTTTCACATCTAATGGTAAACTCTGTATTTCAGCCCTTTCTGACAGGCATGGTCTCATCAAAGATATAGATAATTCCTTTAAAAAAATTCGTCTGTATTTTTGAGGATTGGCGATGTTTGCAGCATTGTACAAGATTTGACTGTTAATTCCTGCGATGTTTATAAGCTGAAAAAATATAACCATCGGCCACCTCTGTGTTCTTCTTGACACTGAGTATGTATCGCACATCTTATCTATTGTATCAACACCTCCTTTGTGACAATTATAATCCAAAATTATATTTGGTTTTCTTGTATCCGGATCTACTTCAGAGTTATTATGCATAGTTGATATCAAACACACTGCTTTATTTTTCTTAGGGACGTACGACACTATAGTAATCTCTTTTTGAAAGCCAAAAAGAGACGATCCCACTTCTCTTTCTTTAGATGGTAGAAACTCCAACGGCAGCTCCCGTATATTTTTTCTTATTGTGCCAACCATTGTTACTTTGTCTTTTAACAGATCATTGGCCAATTTGTAACTTGCGTACCAGTTATCACATGTTAAATTTCGGTTTTTGCCTTTCCAGTTTTGAAGTAAACGATGCACAATGTCAGCTGGTTTATTTGACTGGTTGTACGGTCCTTTTGGTTGATTCCCACAATACACCTCTAAATTTGTAACATAAAATGTCTGGGCTTCACACAATACAAATACTTTTAACCCATACTTAGCAGGCTTGCTAGGGATATATTGAAGAAAGCTGCATCTACCTCTGAAAGGCACTAACATCTCATCTATTGTGACCTCTTCTCCCAAACAGTAGTTGTTAGTGCAGTTCTCCTCAAAGCGATCCAGTGTAACTCGAATAGCAGCAAGCTTGTCAGTCAATTTGCGATCCGATCTAGTATTTTTGTCGTCAAACCTTAGAGCGGCAAGCAAAAATAAAAATCGATCGTAACTCATGAAAGCCCGAAATATTTCAGAGCCCGTTCCATCTTTAGTCCACAATTCGAGAAAGTGTGTATGGTTTTGTTTCTTAGTTCCTGCAAGTAGTAATAATCCGACAAATGCCATAAATTCTGTTTTTGTTGTGTCTTTAACCCGTCTCGGCCGGTTATACTTTATACGCATCTTTGCTATTTGTAAATTGGTACATTCAACTATATTTTCAATGATGTCGTCACTAAAAAATTTCTCGAAAGCACTTCTCTCATTTGTAACGTCTTTTGCACACTGTCTTGGCCCAGGAAATATTTTTACAATATTTTTACTAGCAGTTTTGCTGAATTTGCTCACCACTTGATTTTTACACCACTTTGTTTTTTTATCTTTCCCTATGAAGTACTCGTCTTTACCACTTTCTGAACCCTTACTGATATCATTATCGCTTTCTTTGTCTGGGTCAGAAGATTCTTCAATTAGCTCCATTTCCGATTCAGTGTTATGGTCACTTTCCTCTATAATTTCCTCTATAACTATCCAACTCTCCCCCAACTTCTTCCTCATTCAACTTCAAGCTCATTTTGTGTGAGACGTTTCCGATTTCTAACATGAACTCGATCCCTACAAAAAAAATTTCTACTCAGCTTCCGTTTCATATTTTTGTATAAAAAATAAAATAGCAACTTAGCTTTATTTACACAACAGAAAATGTAACATTTACTACACGCAAAATATCTCTTTTTACAGAAAGACACTCGTTAAGTTTACTTACATAACTATGTGCGTGGTGTACAGAAGTCGCCGGTTCGGGTGTCACTTTCGATATTTTCTTGCAGATTCAACTATTCAAGCAAAAATCACGTAGGCACTATAACAGACTACAGTTAACAATATACTGATAGGTTACATCGAGTGGCATAAACACATAAAGTAGTTTTGACAAACGGCAACCAATTTAACAACCGTGGTGTACTGTGTACACCTTAGCCCGTAGTTAAAGGTTAAATTTAAAACTAAATTTACAGCTGAATTTTTTTGTAATAAATTTAAATTTAAGAGATATCAGTTTTATTCAAATATACTTACGCAACGAAAGCACACTATCTGTGTAACAAAACAAAAAATTATACTTCTTTTTGTCCAACACTCGGAAAATTTGTTGTATGCACTTCACATCACGCACAAGCCAGAACTAAATTGTTGTATACACTCAAGGACACTAAACTACCAGGATAGCTCGATCAACGAAAATCGTCCGCCTGCTATGTCACCGAGGTGACGTTACCGCAGGACTCTAGCGTCTCTCTCTTACGCCATAGTCTTAGTAATAATTTATTAATAAATAATTTACTAATAATTTATAGGCGATTTTTTATTATTATTTTAACTTCCGTATTAAACAAAATGTGTCTCAATTTATTTATTTTTTATTAAACCTTGCGCGGACCCCCTGACGTTGTTCAGGGACCTCCAAATCGGTTTTAATTTTCCGAGGACCCCCTGAATGACCCTAGGGACCCCTTGGGGTCCGTATGGACCACTTTGGGAACCTTTGCTTTAGACGGTTGGATTTTGCTGGAAACAATCAATGGAAACGAACCATCGAGGCCTTTTCAACGTTTAAAGAAGACTATGTACCTTTATTTACAACGTTTATCAGTCTCTTGACTATGCCGTTGGTTCTTTATCTGCAGTGTACTTGGATGGGCACACTAATGTAGCTATGGTGATTAGGAATCTGCTAATAGACACCCTGCCATATTTATTTTTTTATTTTATATATTTAAATTTTATATATTTTTATTTTATAACATTAACTTGCAACATGGATCACATAGTTATTATTAAATATTTACCTTCATAACCACTCGGACGAGAAATTGGAGTCTTAGAGAATTGGAAGTAGAATTGGAAGAAGTATTTAAGTAAATATTAGAAGAAGTACAAAAACTATTGGAAGGAGTATTGGGATGAATATTGTTTTCTGAATCCGCATTCCGCAACACGATTTGGAAGTGGTTTTTGGGACAATTTCTCCCTAGATGTGGTTTGAAATTGGCTTGAGTAAAATGGCGTTCACAAACACGTACTCTTTTTGTCAAAAGTTGCTGATATGCATGATCTAAAAGATCGTATCGACCCATTATCTCTTGGCAAATAGAACATTCGTCGTTGTCCGGACGGCAATGCATTCGTTGGACAGTTCTCCTCCACACATTTCTGCAAATGAGGATTTATGAGAGAATTATTACTTGTTAGGCCATTCGTGAATTTTTTGTTTTGTTAAAAATTTTATAGTTCTTATATGATTCTTTAAGGATTTTTTAATTTTAATCTTTGCTGACGGAATGCCTTCTGTTGCACTTTCTTCGTCTTCGTTACTTGAATATTCACTTTCTTCCCTGTCGGAATCTTCATCTTCAGAGTCACTATTTATATTTCATTCTTTTAACAATTTAATTTCTTCTTGGCTCAAACCTACGAATGCAGCCCCATATGGGAGGCAAAATTTATTGTAGCAAATAAGTAGTGCGATAAAGTCAGCTTATTGCGCAATACCGAAGCGTATAACAGAAACGTATAATATAAACGTTAAAAGCATAGTTTATAAAACTGATCAACGTAAATATACGGTCGTAGCATATAAAAATATATTTTGAAAAACATATTTACACACGTAACAGCGAAAAGGTTAAAATTGTATTCAAACCATTTTAGCTTTTAATTATTATTATTTAGCAAAGTATTTACGTGTAGATAAAATACAAGCATTTTTTCTTCGTAACTGTTAATATCCAATTGTAAAAAACAAAAACCTTGATAATAATAATTCCTATGTACCTTCAGATCAGCGCTCTGTGTTGACACATCCGTATCATACCAGTTCATGTTATAAACAGCTTCTGCCACACTGATAGTCTATTTTAAATCGTCAAGTTGTATGGTTTACAGAAAACATTATTGGCAATAACATCAATAATAACGAATAACAAGATATTAATTTTATAATTAATAAAAATTTCCTATAACATGTAGTAAATATTTGTAAGAATCAGGTGTGAAGTTAACCATAGANTAAATGACAGTAACAACAGTTTGACTTGACGCCATAAAATTAAACAATCGGATTTTGTTTTATCATGGCCCGCTAAGATCAATGAGAATATTTTGATATTACCTAAATGTAACACCCCGTACCTCACTTATTTAAGCAGCAAGCAAAAAAATGGACTAACGAATGTTGTCAGAAATTATCTAAAGATTCTAAAAATATTATAGCTGAATGAAGTTTATTATCAAAATTTTACGAAAAACTACATTTAAATTTTGTCGTTGGCATTACGCCCCTAGCGGTAGTTTTACAAACTTGAAAATAATTTCCAGCAGTTTCTATAGGCCACTTTGTATAAGAATTTTTTTGTCTGAATACTATGCCATCAACAATTTATGAGATATAGCCGGCATCCTTTCTTAGTGGCCCACCCGGTACATAAAAACTACAGTTTTCCAAAATTAATATTAAAACTAGAAGCGCAAGAAAAATCAACAAGATAAAAGATGTAAACAAAATATTTCGGGTTAACGACATAACTGTATGTTTAATCGTCACTTACAATGAAATTGTTTAAAACAATTATTGTTTTAGTGGAAACAGAGGTGCACTCTACATTATTCACACATAGTCCGAGATTTTCTATAACAATTGTGGTTTTTACATCTTTCGCGGTTATCCGTGTGTAAAGGCCAATGTCCAATGTTGTCAGACCTGATACTATATGTTGGCCGAGGCTCATCACTTCCTCTTTTTGATGGAAGGGATAAAGCAGAACGAGTGCGCTTAGAGCGATTGGGCCGTCCCTTTTTGTTTTCAGGTGCAATTTTACCATTCAAACATAAGTCTCGCGCTAATGTAGTTTTAAATTCTAGCAAGGAACAACAGTCATTGTTATTTAGTTGCTTGTTTATTCAGCGAAAGAGTAACCAAGCATTAACTACAACAACGTCCAGCATGTGAAAAAATATGCGAAGATAGCATTTACGACTTTTTAATTTTATAGGATACAGGCCTAATAGAGAATCTTGCAAATCCACGCCACCCATATGCATATTATATACAGTAACAACGTCTGGACGACCAATGTCCTTTCTACAATTCTCTGCTTTCTCAAAAAAAAATCGGTTCAAAAAAAATCATCTCCATCACATTCCTTTTTTTCCCAAGATTTAAGACATGAAATAGAATTTGTAACACAAAGTTAATAAGCGAGGGTTTTGATTTCTTTTCGCGTTAACCCACAGTAAATATCCGAAGCTTGAAGAATATAATCTTTAAATTCCTTCTCAACGTTATCAGGAAAAACCTTTCTGTTTGGAAAATAACCAACGATGACCGAAGGTTGGACTCTCTTTTCATCGTCGATTTTGAATTGCTAAAGAATATCTGCAAGTGTCGGGGAAGTATAAGAATTGTCCGTGGTAAGACGGTGTCTCAAATTCAAAATTGGTCTCATTTAAGACATAACAATTTGTGTTCCCATTCCCTGGTCTTAATCTAATCAATTATAATTACTATCGATTATTGTTTCCCTTTCTGTGTAAATTACGAATGACCAAATATATCCAGATTTCGATTCGCATAAAATGTAAAATTTGATGCCGAATCTGGCCCCAGGTATCATAATAAAAATAGTCGTTTTTAATATAGTTTCTATATTTTTATCAATTAATTCCTATTTGCTGCGACCGGGGTATTACACTATAATAGGGTAATATCATCATATACGAGTATATTTGATGAAAAATATTACAGTGTAATGTACCAAATCTTTTTTATATATAGTTTTGATGTAAGGAAGAAAGTCAATGGATTAAGCTAAGGACAAAGGATAAGATAAGATTCACCAGCTGCTAAGAATCTAAGTTTTACAATAAGGCGGTCTTCCACCGTTGTACTGTTTCTTAAATGAGTATATTTCTGTGAAATCAATTTATATACTTTAGACGCCTAGAAACAAAAGCTCTTCTCATCCACTTTAAATAGTTCTCGTAATGGTTTGGATCTTCACTTTTCAATTCCCTCAATAAATGATTTTGCCCACATTCATTTTGTCTTCTTTTTGCGTTACTTTTTCAATAATAAACAGATTGCAGTTATTGAACTCAAACAGGCACCAAAAGCAAAAAGCTGTGGTTCATGCATTTTATATAATAATATGATCAAATATATTACGTAGTGTAAACAGACAACATATTTTCCATAATATTTTCTCATCAAACGTTATATTACAAATATTTAATAATAGATCTATGATAGTGTAATATCGGCCTGAGAAATGCCGAATTGGTTAAAATCACTTAATAAATCAATCATTTCAAATAAACCATAGTTGAGTATTAACAATTAGAAAAATATTATCAAAATCCTTACGAAATATAAATTTAAAGACAAGAACTGTATAATACATAAAATCCTCAAAAATCATAAC